ATATATATATATATAACAAGAATAAAATATTTTCATATTGAAAATAATATATTCATTTATTATTTTATACTCCTTATATACACCATATAAATAAATAACAAAAAAAAAATTATTTATAGTAAATGAAATATTATTTATACTTTTGGAAATATAATAAATATTTTTATATTTTGTATTTTACTAAGCATGTGAAAAAAAATTAATAAGTAATTACGTAATTTATGTTTTACAATGGCAAATTAAATTTCAAAATTATTCATTTAAATATCAATAAATTTAAAATTTAATAATAAGTAATATATATTCATAAGGTAATCATAGTAAAATATGTTTACATGAAGAATTTCTTTCCTAATCTTAATAATATATTCCATCACATAAAATTTCTATAAGACTCCCAAATTAATTTTCTTTTATAATAAATGCTTACGAAAGTCAATTCAACAAATAAATTAATCCTAACGATATTTTTGGAATTTTTTAAAAAGGAAATCAACTTAAATTCGAAGACAAGTTAATCTCTATAAATACGGTTATTCATCTACCCAATTCATCTTTTCCTTATTTGAAAAAACTGGATCATTCCATATCCAAATTCTCTCTTCCTCATTTTTTATTAACATGGTTCATCTATATCATAAAGTTTATCATTTGCATTTTTGTTATTTTAGAATTTGCAAGTGAATGATTTATTATTCTTATTTTTTGGTATATATTGGCATTTCCAATCACTTTCATTGGATAATGCTTTTTCAAATATTATGCATTTATGTCGATGATATTTTTAGTAATACACGACTGGTTTGTAAACTCACAATCATATAGTCAAACGGGTTATGATTAATATTTTTTAAAAACATTTTTTAAGAGTTGGTCTATTAAAACATACATACAATATAAGCGTGTATATTTTACAAGTGGAATCATTTAAAGTTTTCATATACTCGATTTCTTCTTTTATTATAACTTTTAATTATATATTAGATAAATATTTTCCCCCGCGCTGTAGCGCGGGTCCGTTTCTAGTCTTCTTTATATTAAAGATGGAACAAGTTGAATTTTTTGGCAAGACTTGTAATATACGCAAAGGTTTGCTTTTAAGAAAACAATATGTAATAATTAAAATGTTCAAATGATCTAAGAACCAACGCAATTAGAGTGGTGATCATTGGTGCTAATGTTGTCATCAACCAAACCCATTGTTCACTTATGTTTTGGACCATACCCACTTGTTTTTTATGAAGACTTTTTTCAATACTGATATAATTCAAAAGAGGATAAGTATAAACCCAAACACAAGGCTTTACATTTCACTTAGACAAACCACTTCAGTTTGTGAAAACAATGATCTCTTTTGACTCTAGTTTACACTTTAGGTTGTGAACAAATTGTTGATCCGAAATAACTCGAACATTGTTACTCTTTTACTTGAGAGAGCAGAAGAAGAAACAATAAAGTAGTTTTCACATATATATCAATAACTCAATAGGCAAAACTTACAAAGATTGAGAGAGAACTCACGAAATAGATTACATCTTTAAGGCTTTTCAAAGACAATTGCCTCCGGAAAAAACCAACAGAGATGACAACTTCGTTCTCACCTCTCTATCTTCTCCACAGCATCAAAAAAACATTATGTCAACAAAACTCTCATTTAGTAACACCAACACACAAAACTGCATCTGCTTCTATCTGTAAGGGTTTTGGCTTCCCCCCCTGAGATTAACTGCCTCTGCTATACTGTAATAACTTACGACAAAACCGAGTAACAACGAGCTTTTTTTACTTTGCTCCTATAGCTAATAATAATAACACCTAGCTGCAAAACTTATGGGCAAGCGATATTAAGAGGGGTGGTAGTAGTTGTTGTTGCGATGTGATCCATGAAAGCATACTTGTCCATGGTGGTTCCAATGAGACCAAGATCGATGTCCACGTCTGAGAAATCATAGTCTGGAAGTTCGCTTGGGCCGTCGCATTCAAGACCAATGATGTCAAGATCATCTATGCCGCAGTAATCATCCAACAATTGGTTGTTCTCTTCTGTTAAGAGAAAATCAAGCTCACACGCATTTGGGATCAATGACTCATCAATGAAGCAACCCATTTCTGGAATCTGCAGATCTGCGAAATCAAAACCAAAACTCCGTTTCTTCGATTCGCCAGCTTCTTGATCAATGGTCGAATCAAGTACCATCTTGTCAAGACCAATGCTTGACACAGCTTCAACATTAGACCCTGAGGCTGAGATCAGAGAACCTGACTCATTTGAATCCGACAGAGCATTCTCAGACACATTAGAGGAAGCAGCAGAAGTGGCTGCAGCCAAAGAATCAAACTCAAGCTTTTTAGCAGCATAAGCATTGGCTGCTTGTTCAAGCGTCTCGTAAGTACCCAACCAAGTCCTTGTTTTGGTGATTGGATGTCTAATCTCAGCAGCCCATTTACCCCATTTCCTCTGCCTAACACCAACAGGCTTCGTGACAATAGAAGAACGCCCAACGACACCAGAGGGTTTGCTGCTTACAACTTTTTTGCTACAAGCTGAAGTTTTGGTTTTGGTTACACCATTAGTAGTATTACTCTCCTGACAAAACGAGCTTTCAGATTCAGCTTGAGTAGCAGCTTGAGCAAAAGGAAGGTCAATCTCACAGACATAACGTTTCCTTCTCTCAACTCTCTCGTCCTCTTCGCTTGATGAGTAGTCGGTAGCGTAAGGATCATTCACAACAAAACGTATTTTTTTCATAGTCTTCATATCTTCAGATAAACCAGGGAGGTGATTTAACTGCAAAGTTTTCTTCTTCATGGGTTTTTTGTAGGGTTTATTGGTTTGAATAGAAGATCGTTTCTTTCGTTCAGCCATTTTATCGAACACTTGGTGTGCGAAACTTAAACCAACGAAACCTAAAAAATTACTCTCAAAATTCCCCCGAAACAAGCCTCAAAGTAACCTCTCTCAAGAACAAAAAAAAGTTTCAAAACTCTCAACTCCAGAACAAATCCTGTTTCAATAACCAGAAGAAAAAGAACAAACCAACCAACTTAAGATTCGAACAGAGTAACTATGAAAATCATAAAAAAGTAACAAACTTTAGCAAACCCAGTTACCTTTTTAGGTCTTAAACGCATGGAAATCGATGAAATCGCAAGAAATCGCAAGAAATCAATCACTAGGAGAGCCAGTAGAAACAGCTTGATGAATAAGAGAAAAACTCAAGAACAGAGCATAAAGAAGACGAAGAAGAAAGAACAGAGCATAAGAGAGAGAGAAGAGTAGAGAACAAAGACAGAGAGAGTAGTCGGAGCTCCGGTTAAAACAATCACCGGCGACTTGAAAAGAACTTTGTCTATCTCTCTCTCTCTTTTTTTGTTTCTCTCACTCCTCAGCAGCTCTTCTTTGAGCTTGCCCAAAAGTGAAAAAGAAAAGTGAGAAGAAGAAGATAGATAGAAGATTCAAAAAAGAAGAAGAAGAAGATAAAGTAAGAATCAAAACGAATCGTAAACAGATGATAAATCTATGGCCAAGATTTTTCTGGTCTCTCTCTATTACCAAAGACAAAACTTTTAATTTATGTCGGAAAAAGGAAAAAAAAAAAAGTAACTCTTCAGAAAATTTAAGAAACCAAGGAATTAAATAAAAATGATGTTATTAATTATAGCACAGATTTCAAAAATAAAAAAACAATTAAATAACCTCTTTACTCGAGAAACTTTCATAAAAGCATTAAAAGTTAAAGAAAAGAAAAAAAAACGTCTTATGAAATTATTATTTTTGTTGTTTATGGACAGTTCTTTTAAAATTCAACGACATAAGACAATGACTGTTTTTTTATGTGTTCAGATTGGTGTAAACTGTTTTTACAATTACGTAACAAATTGGAATTATATTATGGACAGATGGTAAATAAAATGATTTTAGTTCGTGAAAGTAAATACTACTTTCATACTTTGTATTCCAAAAGAAAATACTTATAAAAAAAAAAACATGACAATTACTTGTCACTGCTTTTGCACTGTGGGTCTTTGGCACTGTGTAGTAGAAATTTTATTAAAATACAATACTAACAAACTATTTGTTTTTTAGTTAAAAATAAAGAGAGTGATAGTATTATTATTCATATGATTTGGTGTATATACATACTTGTATTAATAATATGATCATTTAAATTTAATTTGAATCTGATTCGTAAAGTACATGAAATAAATTTTCTATAAATTGTAAATTAGAACAGTAAACTATTAAAGAGTATTATTAAAAAATTATGTAAAAAATATACGAAAACTATATAAAAAATGAGATTAACACATTAACATTTTTAGTAACGCTTTTTAAATTAATAACTGTCAAATCGGTATTATCCCATAGTACAAGATTACCAACCAATCAACATTAATTAAGCAATCGACAAAAAGTATTGTTATAAAAAGACCGAGGAGTAGAATTCGATTTCCACTAATTAAACAGAGGAATTGGGAAGTTAATTAATTACATAAGAGGTAGTTTACTTTTCCATGTCTTCTTGATTAGAGTCTAAAGAAGAACAATTTTTTAACGTGGAAGATTGTCACATCTCCCACACACATTTGCTAGTTGCCATAAAAAGTTGCTACCAACCGATGGACTTTTTCATCATAATTCAATAAGTCTTCTTCCCAATCTATTCTAGTGGATATATAAATAATTGAGAATAATTCACAACTCAAATCGGTTTTGAGTTGAACTACTCGATTCTTTTTTTTACACACATTCTAATTTTTTCATTAAGCTAATGGTCTTTACGTTACATGTTTATCTTTTACTTACAAGTTACAAGGAGTTTACAATATTCAGTAGTATAACATGAACTTGATCACTCTAATAACTTGCAAATTCAATATAAGTTCAGCCCCGTCTTAAACAATACGTTAAACGTTTAAACCATTTTTATTATTATTATTGAAACTAATAAACAAACAAAGTGTCTTTTTCTTTTCATTTTCATTGAATAACAAGAATGAATATGAAGAACTCGTGATTTCCAAAATTTTGTTTCTTTTCGTGTTGTTCACACCCTTTTCTTCTTATCGTTAGTGTCACTGCCAAATTCGTCTAGAGACATACACTCCTTTCTCTTATTTACAAGACAACCACTGTCAAAGACTCAAAGCATTTGGAAAATTCTATTTACTTCTTTTCTTTTGTTCTTTATATATTTTTACAAGAATTAAACTATAAATTAACTTTATTTCTGCAACGTCTAGAAGAAGAAAAAGTAAGTAAGAACTAATAAGAAAAAAAAAAAAAAAAAAAAAAACAGTGAACGCACGTCTGAATGCATGTGATTTGCCTACCCTACGTTAATAATAAAACAACACAACAAAACGTTTGTAATTACTAATTACAGTAAGAAACGCTTTGTAACTACAGCAAGTAAGTAATTACAATGGCTATAGCTTACTAATTAGTAATTAACCAAATACTAATCCAACAAAACATATACTATTAATTTGACGACATTTGTTTCAACGACAGTTACGTTGACAAAAGAATAGTTTTAAAAGTAACCAAAGGAGGTAAGAAATAAAGGACCAGTGACGTTCATTCACACACAGAGGTCACAGGTGTCGTATAATTAGTGTCACGTGGTGTTTAAAATGTTAGACAAATCACCATGTGGAGACTAAATACATTCATTAATAAAGCATCGAGTACTATTATATAGTACTACCAATTTCACATGTCAGACAAATAGAGAAGTTGAAAAAATAAAACACATACAAGTGTAGAAGAGAGCCAATGATAGATAAAGTAGTGTGTGGTCGGAGAAGATGGAAAACAAATAAGTTGGAAACAGCTTAGCCGCCTTACGTCGACCAGACGACCACCCCCACGTTTTTGAGAAATCAGAAAAAGAAATTTCACATTTTTTCAGTTGTGATTAGTACTATAAAGCCCAATTTGAATGTCTCGTTAGTTAAAAGGCTTTTAAGGCCCATTTTAAGATATTCCAAAGCCTTGCTTGCGTTTGTGGTTGTTGTTGACTATATGACTGTGACGGAAGAGGTCTTTGGCTTTCTATTTCTTTTGTCTGAGTGATGAAGGTCTTTTGTTTATTTTTGTTTTAAAGTTTGTGCGTTTCATTAGTCTTTGTTTAACTTATTTAATATTTGAACTTAATTAATTACAAGAAAAAATAAAGTGTTCTAACCTTCACTTTATTCTTTGTATGATTGTGAGGTGAGGTTCTTTTCTTATGTGTTGTTGACTGCTTTACATTTTTTTCTTTCTAAAGGTAGTTTTATGAACAAGAATAATGCGAATGAGAAATCCTCACTTATATTAGAGCAGCTAGTTTTGATGTATTTGGTTAAGTTAATTCTAATTAGAATCCGGTTTAGATACATTTGTTGCATATATATACACACACAAATCATATTTGTTCATGAACTCTATAACTTAAAAAAAAAAAAAAACTTAAGTCTACTAATATATGACATGTTTGATGCGTCATGTGTCATGCGTCAACCTTAAGAGTAAGCTCTCATGCATGCTTTTTTGTCTTCGACTTTCACCATCAGCTCTTATAGACGACTATTTCATTAAGTTTTGGTTATTTCTCGGAACATCAGTTCAAACACCAATATGAAATACCTAATTATCTGCTTAACTATATCATGATAATAATAGTGGACATAAACAAATAACTAAAACTATATAATAAATAATAATCGCAAAGAAGATCTTGCCCACGTTAACCATGATCACAGAACACAACTCACAACTACTTGCTCTGTTTGTCTTATAAACTCAAAAAATGTCTTGGTCTTCCTTAATTTTTGTTTGAGCTTAATTAGTTCTTTGGTCTTTCTTTAAATCATAAAATTATACAACTCTCTCTGTCCCTCTGTGTATTAAAGAAAAAGTAAACAGAGATGACTTCCTTTATTCCAAAAGTCAAAATCATAAGAGTGACGTCACGACAATGAGGTCATTCGATGATCGACAAAGATCTCCACCGTCAATATATTATTTCGTTTTGACGAGATCGACCGTTCATATCCTCTCACCGACGCCTCTATAAAGAGAGTTTCTTCCCCGAAATATACAGAAGCAACCTAATCTTGTTCTGAGCCTAAACGACGCCGTTCAACGTTTTCTTGTTTGGCTTAAAGAAACAAAAAAAATGAGTTCATCTACGGTGATGAGAGATGAACGGCGAGAAGAAGAAGATAACGGAAAAGATGAAGCTGTGATCCGGACGGTGACGGAGGAAGAGGTTGATGAGTTTTTCAAGATATTACGGAGAGTACACGTGGCGGCAAGAACGGCTGCGAAAGCTAACGTCGACGGTGGTGATTTGTCAAAGAAGAGGAAACGGAGTCAGAGTCTTGGGCTGAGAAACTCGAGGCTGGAGGATAACAGTAACGGCGTTGTTCGTGACGGAGGAGAGTTAGATGGGATTAAACGGGTCGGGTCACAGGGTTTGGATTTGGATCTTAACTCTAAACCGGAACCAGACGGCGTTAGTTTGTCGTTGTAGTAGTCGTCCTTCCTTCCTTCCTCAAAGTTTTTTTTTTTTTTTTACTTTTCTTCTTCGACGTCCAATAATTGGGAAATTTTAATTATACTAATTATTATTACTAATTATTTTTATTTTTACGTTTATCCAATCTCAAATTCTACAATGTTATATAACGATTTACATGTGTAATTATGATGAGTTATATAATTTATAAAATTTACTAATTTAGAGTCAATTTATGCAAAATTGATGAAACATATATGAAAAAATGAGTTTAAAACAGTGCCTTCCTATCACTCGATATTAAAATTATGTTCTCCATACACTAATTATCTTCAATAATAATAATAATTTGGTCATAAAAATAATTTGGTAAAATAATAATAATAATAATTTGGTAAGAATTTGATATAATAATAATAAGTATTTATAAAAATATTTCCTATAAAAATAAATAAATATTTCTAGAGTTAATGGGCCTTTGAGAAAAGGTAGCCCAATAAGGTATTGGGTTGGTAAACGATGTATTGGGCCTAGTTAATATGCCATAATATTAGTTCAAACACTTAACAAATAATCACTAAAAAAGGTTACAAAAATAATATAAATAAGTTATAGAATATTAATATTTCAGTCTTAAAACTAAGCTCTTTGTCGACCCATATTATTAATATATATTCTTCAATAACACCTTTGTTAATAGTTGAATTAAGATATATAACAAAAGGAAATACTAATAATTAAAATGCATAGTAGTTATATTGAAGTTGTGGACCATAATATATATAAGGTACACTGACAGACGAAATTGGATAGAAACTTGGCACAAGAAGGTAATGACTAATGAGTTTAACTTGTGAATCTAAATCACAACCATCCATTGTTCATATGACGTGCTTAGCTATCTTTGAAATGAAACTTAAAAGTTTAATGGAATAAGTCAAAAGTGGATAATAAGATATGAATGATTAAAGCAAATAAACATGTTTTTCTTTTGTATTGTACACGTATATTCTCAAATTTTTATATATCTTTTTTAGCACAAAGAGTATGAAAAGTGTTGAAAGTCTATAAGCACTCACATCACAATAGTTTAGTACTTGAAGACGTTTTTTTTGCATAGTCAAGCAAGACTTAGGGCAACATTATTGGGGGTATCTTAGCCCTCTAAGATACCCCCAATAATGTTGGTCTTAGGCCCTGTTGGGGATATTTTTTTTCATTTTGTAAATATTTGGGGTTTTATATAATCAATCTTCGAGATTAATTTGTGTTTTGGTTCCAAGTAATTATAACTTTCTTGTTTTGTTTTTTTTTGTTTGTTAAAAATATAACTTTCTTGTTAACATTGTGATAAAAACAATTAAGAGATAACAAAAGGGAAATAGACTAAAACAAGTTAATTGTTCTAATTGTTACATATTTTACAAAAATTTTGGATAAAGAAACGTAAAACAATTGAATGGAGATGGAGCGATGAAAACGAAGTAGCTAGAGTCGTACGTATACGTAATAGGGTTGGCCTTGGTTAGATTCTGGATTAGCTTTAGGTGAATAATTGTCTTTACTTTTTAGGTATAGCTTTAAGTGATTTACTAACTGCTATTTTTTTTACAAACGATAATTATAAATTGTTGTATGTTTTTAGTAAAATACTCTCATTCTCATTTATTGAAATAAAGTTACAATTGGGGGTTTATATACAACTTGACCAGGCTTAAACCAGAGCCTCTAAACCAAATAATCTACTCTATACAGACTCCAAAACTATAGAAATATATACACAATGGCTATATACTATGATATATGTTCATCTTAAAAAATCAATAAAACAATATCAAATGATTTCATAAATGATACGAAATAATTTTTGCTACGCACCAAAGATCATAAATTTTTTCTATACAAATATAACTTTTCTAAACCAAAAAAAAAAAGAAAAGAAAAAGAAAAGTAGAGATAAGCGTTTGATTCGTTTGGAATACACCAAATTTTATTTCTAGATATATATAGTATATGGGTAATATGTTATCTTTTTAGGAATTTTTTTGATGGAGAAAGATAGAAATGGGCCACCATTTTGTTCTTCGTTTTTCCAAAATGTATTTATTTTCTACTTTGAAAGCAAAGCATCTCGTGGAAAATTTAATTTATTTTCTAATATTTGTCATGTATTTTATTTTGCCCTTCGAGAAAATCCAGGAAATATAAAAAAAAAAAAAAAAAAAATCCAGGAAATATTACACTTAAACTAAGTTAAATCATATAGATGGCCATTTAAATTATATTGTTTAGGGTCTACCATTAACATATCTAACTCAAATACAGTTGAAATGACCCTCTCTATCACCTTCAACCATTTCTTTATTTTTCTTTTCTTTTGCAATAAGAAAGTTCGTGTGCCTCTCCTATTTTGTTCTTTCTAATCTATTTATATACTACTATGTTAAAAAATAAAAAAACGAAAATGAAACAATCAAGAAATAAAGATATGGTTGTAAGCTGTAACTGATGATAAGTGAGTATTTATATATAATTATCAGCATTTTTTTAGGTTTGTAGAAAGTATTCCATAAAATTACAAATTTGTTTTGCTTTGAAAACGATTGTATTCGGTCGTATCCTAACAAAACACCATTCCAAACTGACAAAAGAGTTACAACTCGAACAATTTTGTTTGGATTACACAACTTGTTATTGAACACAAGAACCGTCCATATATATTGGCCACCTAAATGACGTATTAGTGTTATGCATAACATATAAACATACAAAATTCGAAAACTAATTAGTTTTTATTGATAACCATCTTTTAATTTTCTGCCTAGCTCATTACCTTTAAAATAAATGAATGATTCAATTTTTTTTTTCTTTTTCTTTTGTGGGTGCTATGATTAGATGCTAATCAATCATCTACACACTTGGCCAGCTTTGAAATTATTAAGCAATCAAGGAAATTTCTTACAGCCATCTGATCTTGATATATTTCTAAGATTGACGTATACGTCTAAAATGAATTTATAATGTTTTCTATGTTATAATAAAAATATATATTACATGATAATTAGGTAACATACGAAAAAAAGAGAAATCGGGTTTATATAAAGAAGTTATACGGTTTAATTTCCGGTTAGTTGCACCCACAACCACAACTCTCAAAGTGACTGCAAACCTAACCACCGATGAAGATGATCTATTCATGTCGGATACATGTGACGTCTACGGATATCTTAAACTTTTTATAAACAGATTTATATATTTTACCAATAATAATGAAAAAGAGATGTATATATGATGGATTCATTTTTCTAATAAGATTTTTTGGGCAATTCTCCTAAGTCCTTATAAATACCACCCAAATGACCTTTTCTTTTAAAAGGTTCTAAACGGTATTTATAATATTTTTATAAGATTTTTAAAAGGTTTACACAGTTTTTATAAGGTTTTTAAATGGTTTTTAAAAGGTTTTAAAAGGTATTTATACGGTATTTATGAAATATATATATAAATTTACACACATATAAAGATAATTTGTGTCTATAAATATAAGTTTACACATATGTTTTTGATAAATTTCAAATTTTATAATGACTTTTTGATAAAACTAGAAAGAGGGGTATTTTTAAAAAGTGGTATTGGAAAAAGGGTATTTTTGAAATTCCCCCATTATGAGAATTTTTGAGAAATACCCCTTTTGGTGTACCCCTTTTTAAAAATACCCCTCTTTTCTATCCATTTTCAAAAATACCCCTTTTCAAATATGAAAAATTATAAACTTTTATATGGTTAATAAGGTACATCGAGGTCATCATTACTACTAGGAGACTAAATCCAAATATTTATAAGGTTTTAAAAGGTTCTAAACGGTATTTATAATGTTTTTATAAGATTTTTAAAAGGTTTACACAGTTTTTATAAGGTTTTTAAATGGTTTTTAAAAGGTTTTAAAAGGTATTTATACGGTATTTATGAAATATATATATAAATTTACACACATATAAAGATAATTTGTGTCTATAAATATAAGTTTACACATATGTTTTTGATAAATTTCAAATTTTATAGTGACTTTTTGATAAAATTAGAAAGATGGGTATTTTTAAAAAGTGGTATTGGAAAAAGAGTATTTTTGAAATTCCCCCTATTATTATTTATTTATCATAAATATCACAAAACTATAACTGAACTTTCATTTTTCAATACAAAACTTTAAAATACTAAACCATAAACTATACCCCCTACATATATATATATATATATATATCTAACATAGTTAATTTAAACCTTAAAAATTAAGTTTTCTATTTTTAAGAAATAATTTTTGTGTTTCCGATATTTTTAGAAAACTAATTGTAGTAATCAATTATTCAAAAGAACAAAAACTTAGAGTGAAAATGGTTACACAATTTAAAAGGTTGGAAAAAATTATTTTACTTGTTTTTACTAGAGACAGGAAAAATTATTTAAGCCATTCAACTTAACAAAATGAAAAAATAAATTAATTATACATAGAATTTGTTCAACTCATTCATCTTCTATTTTGCAGACGAATGAGTTTAATACTATTCAATTTTTTATTCAATTTATTTTTTTCCAATTTTTTTATCTTTAATCAATCATTTTCACCCTTAATACTACATTAATAGTGGTATTTTGGTGGAAAGAAAACTTAATACTATATTGAGGAAATATTTAATATTTTCTTTCCTTCAGAGAAGTGTTTGGAATCTTATTAATCCAACTCATGTAAACAAAGCATGCAAGAGTTACTAAAGTGTACCGACATAGAGTGATCTGCATCAAGATGAAGAAGAGCGAGATCACGTTGCATGTGTATATGATCTTCTCCTTCTTTTTATATTTGTTTGATTAACATCACCCTACACACCATTTAATTGGTTTCCCCAACTTATCATAACTTTACAATATTTTATGTTATATAATTTATATCATACTTTTAGTTTCTTTATCGACCTCATAAATACGACCGACGTTAAGAAGTGATGATGAGTCGAGCTTTTTGGAAAAGGATTATAATTTTGTAAGATGATTAACGGAACCTTGGCCGTAACATTTGATGAATATTTTGAAATTGTTTATACGTTCTACTCACGCCATTAAGATGCATACCAAACTTAATTACAATTTTGTAAAAAAAAAAAGAAAAAAGGTCGTTCTCAAGTCGCTTCTAGACTTTTATACAAAATTTGTAAAAGTTGACAAAAAAATAGTAGTATATTATTCATAAATAACGTTCAAAACAAACATTATAAATAAACAAAAAGATTTATTTATGCATTTTTCTAGTGTGTTATATATGGATACCAACCAAAAAAAAAGTGATCCAACGACATGTGATACGAAGACTTCACTTGGCAGGAAATTTAATCAACGGCTGAGATGTGATGATGAGAAAAGGGTTCCGATAACGACACGTGGCATGTTCCTTACACAAGTCGTTGTTACTGTCGCCACAGCACAACCCTCACGCTGTCGGCTGACATTTTCATTATCGAAAAATATAAAAAAGAAAAAATTGAACAACTGAAATCATATATATATATACTTTCATTTTCTATTTTTCTTCTCCATTACGAAATAGTATATATATATATATATATATATATATATATATATATACTTTCATTTTGTATTTTTCTTCTCCATTACGAAATAGTATAAAATATCTTTCGAACATGACATGTAAATAATAATTTAAATTTTAAAGAAAATGAAACGAGTTCAAAACTGAATTTAAAGAAAATAAAATAAAAACTACAGCAAAGATATATAAAGCTATAGTTGTGAAATTTCTTAAGGTTGTGTTTGTTATGACTTATGAGAAAAATAAACAGTAATTAGTTTGAGCATATTAGTTTAGAATAATGTTGTTATACAGGAATTGTCAAGTTTTATTAAAAATGGGAAGTAACAACTACGAATCTCATTGTAAATAGCATCGTGGCGCTAAGTGAAGCGAGAAGACGTGAAAGCGATGCGCACCAGAAACCTCCTCTCAATGCTTTGAATTATATCGATATTACAAAATTCGATTTTTTTTTTGTTTATCATCACTCATCAGAATATATAAACATATACAATACAAGTTACGTCCAATTTCTTCTATTTGTTTTGATGGTATTATTACAATAGTTTTTAAAATATTTAATTTGTTTGTAAATAGTATCTTAGAAAAAGATTTTTCTATTATGTATAAACAGTTCAGTTTTACTACAATTAATATAATTAGTGCTACTACTAACTATGGCTAAAATGAAGATATGAGATTAAATCTAAAGTCTTCCATCTAATTTTGATAATCAATATTCATCCATTTTACTACAAATCTGTTTAGCTGGTTTTTCAAACCTCTTTTTTTTTTCACACGCCCATAATTTTGTGGATTTAATACTATCTCTACGAATTTAAAATTATAAAACCTCTTTCTTTGTAGTTAAACGGAAAAAACTGTATATTTCTTTATTATTATCTTTTTTAAACTGAAAATATAACATGATTAATTGTTTTTATTATTAACTTTATAAGATATTTTAAAATTTTCTAAACAAAGTTTTAATATTATTTTATATTTTTGAATTTTAATAGGGGAAATTTCAAAAATATCCCTTTTCCAATACCACTTTTTAAAAATACCCCTTTCTCTAGATTTATCAAAAAGTCACTATAAATTTGAAATTTATCAAAAACATATGTGTAAACTTATATTTATAGACACAAATTATCTTTATATGTGTGTAAATTTATATATATATTTCATAAATACTGTATAAATACATTTTAAAAACCTTTTAAAAACCATTTAAAAACCTTATAAAAACTGTATAAACCTTTTAAAAACCTTATGAAAACATTATAAATGCCGTTTAGAACCTTTTAAAACCTAATAAATATTTGGATTTAGTCTTCTAGTAGTAATGATGACCTCGATGTACCTTATTAACCATATAAAAGTTTATAATTTTTCATATTTGAAAATGGGTATTTTTGAAAATGGATAGAAAAGAGGGGTATTTTAAAAAAGGGGTACACCAAAAGGGGTATTTCTCAAAAATTTTCATTTTAATATGCTGTAGTCTCAATGAATTTAGCATTTTCTAATATTTTTTTTGTTTAAAGCATTTTTTAATTTTTAAAATACATAATTATAGTATAATGTTTTGCTTTTAAATGGAAGATTTTCAACATGTGGGGAAAAATGGGCAGATGATGAGTGTTCAACACTGTCTCTAACCACCTTCATACTATACTTTTATTGAAAAAGAATCAGTCAATAGTTCGAATCACATTCGACTCTAATTCCATCTGACAATTATTTGTTTATGACGTTATGACACAACTAAAACCTGCTCTATTATTATGTGACGATGAAAAATTTTCACATAATTTAATAAAAAATGTTTTACCAAAGTTGAGAATATGTTTTAAGATCAAAATAATTTTTTGAAAACAAAATCCTCCAAATAAAACTTTAAAATAACATTTATGTTTTTGTAAACACGATAAGATCATAGACTAACAACGATGCATCCATGAAAATCTTTCTATTAATCTTCAATAGAGTTTCGAATTGCCGAACAAGGACGTAAATCCAACAATACAAACTACTCTTATTCTTAATTATAATTGAAAAATCATCTAAATATATTCAAGTTAACAATAAACACGATAATATAGATTATTTGCTAAAAAGCGATTAAAGGAAATATATGCATGTTTAAATTGGATATTGATATAAACAACATATGCATGTTTAAATTGGATATTGATATAGTGACATCAACATCATTATCACAACCACTAGACTATATATCGTTATAGTTGAGTTAAAAAATTAACATATATTGAAGTGTTAGAATATTTTACTTAAAGCTCGTGAAAAATAATTTTTAGTCAAATTCACTTGAGTATGGGGCCGTATGCCCTCGTTACAACACAATCTAAGACCATCCATAATGGGAAAGATTCTTTGTGGGTTCTTTGCAATTTTTTTAATATAATTTTTGAAAAAATTGAGATGAAGAGTTTGTGATGGGGTTTTTAAATTTATTGTGTTTCAATGGTAAGAATCTTTAGGTTCTTTAATTTTTTTTTAATTATTAATTTTTTTAATGATTGTATTTTATTACTTTTTAAATAAACATGACTTTTAAAAACATTACATTACATAACATAGAAACAAATATATAAAAAAATTCGATATGATCGTCGAAAGTTTGATTAAATGCGTCATTCATCATATCTTGGAGATTATTAAGTGAAGAAGAAAAAGACATTTTCTTGTTTAGGAATATTTAATAAGAAATGTTTAATAAGAAAAGAAGAAAAAATTGGAAATGTTTAATAATAAGAAGAAATTGGGAATGTTTAATAAGAAGAAAAAATGTGTTTATGAAGCAGCGATTTCAACGAGGAGAGAGAAGAGAAAGAAAAATGAATTGTTTTGCTTTTTTTTTTTTTTTTTTATATTTTTACCATCAACCAATACGTCACCGCCTCTTCCACTTATTAAAAGCTCTTAAAGAGGAGTCGGTTCTCTTTAATAACTGCTGTTATTCATTTATTTTTAATCGAATTTGGCCTAAAGAACCTCATAAACATCTTCCGTTGAGGTTGCTCTAAATGAAGGAGTTACCAAGTATGATGTTTTAAAAAACACTGGGGACATCTGATTTAATTTATCTTCTAAGTTCTAAGTTATAGAATTTTTTTTTATTACCAACAACTAGTATTTGCACACAATCGCTTAAACTAGTTCATGAAAGCAGATAATACGAATTAAAAATAATAATTTTTAATATTTATATCGAAACCATTTTGATAATTGTCTACCTCTATTCGTTCAGTTCCTGACCATATTGACATGTGCACTAAGATGATTAGTTTGTTTGTTGATGTATAATAAAATAGAAAGAAATAAGAGTATTAAAAAAAAAAAGAGTATATATGAGATTTAGATTTAGATGTTGAAATCATTAGATTAAGCGTTCTATCAATTTTTTAAAAATGCAAATATATATTAATTTTTATTGAAGTAAAAAGCAATTATGCAAGAAAACAAATCATGCAAGATTTTAAAAGTTCTAACACTGCAAATTTACTAAATCCTCTAATAAAATTCAGAGTAAATGAAGGAATAATAAAAAAAGATGGTCGTATTTATTCATTTGCTATGATAACAAATTTAATTGAATCGCTTAATTAAAAATATACAAAAAGCATATAATTAGCATACGATGCTTGAGATACCTTGATTGCTAAAGAATTATTAAAAATTCAAATCCCCCTCAACAAATTTTTATTTTATTTATCAAAAACTTTAATTGAAATAACATTTGCTATCTTATTTATTGTGTGTGTACTTGATATAGCTTTATTGTACTCTCTTCACACGTGATGTGTTGTTGTACTTGTACAATTCTACATGTTCTGTTCTGTTCTTCTTCTTTTTTTTTCCACTCGTCCTCGAAGATTTCTAATATTGTAATGTTTTAAACATTGTGTCATTTTTATATCACCAAATCTAATAGCTTAGGGATAAATATATATCTATATATATAGTGTATACTTTGCATTCATATAACAGCAATGAGAATGAACTATTTTTGAAGTGTTGGATATGTATGTGAACTTTAAAATCCAAATACGTGGAAAGTGAAAAGAGAAAGAGAATAAAAAGTGTATTTAAATGGACAAGTTCTCGAGTGTTGTTGTTGACAAACCAAAAATGCTCATGTCCTTCGACTCGAATGTGCTATAGTATAATCTACGAACACATTTATACTAGTACGTAGTACCACATACGTATTTGCAAAATTTAACACTATTCTCTGTTTCTCTATTAATAGTGTGACTCAGACTCTGAGCCAAACCTAACTGCTCGACCATCATGTGTGTGTCTGTCTCCTGCAACGTACCGGACTTCAACTCTGATTTCAAACCAATTTATAGTAACGTTTATAAAATTTTACAAAAACGACATCTGAAAATAAATAATAAAACCAAAAGAAAGTTATTAAAAAATCAGAAAAAGGACAAATGAATATAAAAAGAAATATAAAAAAGCGAGAGATCCGTGATGCCCCCAAACGAATCGTTAACTCACGCGCCAATGTCTACGTTTGAAACCACGCGCTTTCTCTCTCTCACTTTACCGACTTTTTCTTTTTTTATATCCTTCAAACTTTCATATCTTGTCTCCACTATAAAATCTCGTGTTTCCCTTCTTCCCGATTCTACACCCATAATCTCACGCTAATTACGGTACTGCCACTCATTAAAACTGTACCGTCTTAAACCAAACATCGATTTAAACCGTACCGGTTGTTTATACTATGGAGGAGAGTCTCACTCGGACTGACTCGGTCGGGAAGAAACGAGTCAGAGAAGACGAGTTATGCGGCCTTGACTCTCCGGATGTGAAGCGGCTGAGAGACGATTTGTTCGATGACTCGGGGAACGAACCCGCGATTCAAGATCTTGACTCGGTTATGAAGAGCTTCGAGGATGAGTTGTCGAACACCACGACGGTGCAAGGCTCCGGCGAGACTCAGCCGGATCTTGGTTATCTTTTCGAAGCTTCTGACGATGAGCTTGGTTTGCCTCCGCCGGTGATTCTTCCGTCGTGTGAGGAGACGGTGACGGAGTTGGTACGAGTTTCGTCGGATTCATCGGATGTCGGGGAGTTATGTGGGTTTGGAATTGAGGATCATGTTACGGATTTTGGAACTTGCGATCTTGGTGATGGGCTTTTCGAATATTCCGATGTTTGTTTAGATTCCGGTGATCTGTTTTCATGGCGGCAGGAGTTTTTGCCGGCGGAGTAATTCCGTAGTTTTTAAAAAAAAAATTAAAAGCGTGTAATGGAAACGATGGCGTTTTAAGGTCTTGCCTCGTTACTAGGATTAGAAAAGTTAGGAATGGATTTAGTTTATAGAGTATCAGTATGTTTACTTGCTATCTTTTTTCAAGGATTTGTTGATCTTTGTTGATGTTTAGTGAACATCTTCATGTTTTGTTTAGCTGTTGTCAATGTTGAAATCTAAGTATTATCCCAGATATCAGAATTTTTTAAGATTAATCAAATTTATAATCAGCAGTTTTTACTTTTTAGTGCAATGAAAGTTGTTAAGACGTTTTAAATAGTAGTCACAATGTTGTGGGCCTTTTGGCCCTAGTTGGTACGGTCTATTAATTTATGATTTGTGAATTAAGAGATTGCTAATACAAGCTATAAGGCCTTACATCACGGAAAGCCTTACCATTTGGGCTATATTGACCATAAGGCCCATTACAGATATGCTAGGTAATGGGCCACATCTAGCTATTCTCTTTTCCTAGGGCCTGTGGAATGTGGACTGGTGAACAGTTAAACCAGAAATTATTTGTGTAAAGTAAAAACCCAAAATGATTATTCCAGAAACCAAAATACAGACAAACACAAGTGAAAGAAAGATGCAAAAAAAAGTACAAGACTAAGAACAATGAAGATTAATAATTTTACTTGAAAAAAAAATTGGCTTAGGAAGTTGGGAAACTGATTTTGTCCTTCCGTGTTCGGTAGGAGTCTTATAAGGTCAGACTATCTGGATTCTCAACGATCTTTGCAAAGGTTTGTAGAAAAGAAGCCAAGTCAGCTCCATAGACAATGCGATGATCTGCAGTCACATTCACCTGCCAAAACCCAACAAAAGCCAAAACTTAATCTCACTTAATAAAGAAGTTCCTACATCTAATAAAGCTATAGCTAATCGTATTTTCGACTTTATAAATCAAAGTTTGATTCACCAAGCCTATCAGTAGCAGGTTCATAACCAGGATCAATCAGTTTTTGTTCCATGTGAAGTTTAAAGTCAAACTTACCAGCATTGTGTTTTTCACACTGAAGAATCCATCCTTGTCAGCAACTACAGTTGGCTTCGACGCTCCAACAGCCATAATTGCACCCTAGAGATTTGAGATTAACAAGATATGTAAATCTAGAACTTGTAATCACTGACCATAAGGAGGCAAATTCATTTTTGTTTCATATATTATACCTGTCCTGGCGGAAGAATAGCATCAAATCTATCCACTCCATACATACCAAGATTCGATAAAGTGAAAGTTCCTGCATTCCATACATATATATGTATATTCTTAATCACAATCCTTAAACACACTTCACATGTGTATCATCTACAAGTAAAAGAAAAGTACCAGAGTTGTATTCATGGGGTTGCAGTTGCTTGCTTCTAGCTTTCGATACCAAGTCTTTCCACTTTTGGGATAACAAGTACAAATCCAACTACAAAAACAAACCAACATGACTCGAACGTTCAGATAACCAAACCAACCTAAGACTATGGGTATATTCAATCACAAGCTAGCTACTTGCTTCCGAGAACTACATTGCATTTGATTACCTTATCTGCATCTTGTAGAACAGGCGTAATCAAGCCACCGTTAATAGCAACTGCCACAGCAATGTTAATGTTACTATTGTAACTAAAACTCTTCCCATCTTTGCAGCTTGCATTCACCACAGGGTGCTGAGCCAGAGCCATCCCTGCAGCTTTAGCCAATAAAGCTGTCATTGATACACCCTTTGCTTTCAGCTGTAAACAAAAGCAGTGATGTAAGCATTTGCTTCATACAATACAACATCAAAACAGTGTGTGCATATGTTTCATTTGATTCAATTTCACCTTCTGGTAGAGTGCATCGAGAGCATCAGTGTTCACAGGATAACCAACACGGAATGTAGGAACAGAGAGACTCTCAATCATATTCTTCGATACTGCAGACTGCATTGCTGTGAAAGGAACAATGCTTGAACCAGGCAATAGAGGCGGCAAATTGGTCGCTGTGGTAGCTTTTCCAGTCGCCGCCGCAGGAGGAGGAGGAGGAGGTGGTGGTGCCACAGAGGATTTGGACGGAGCAATTCCAGCCGCCGTCTCCACATCAGAAGCCGTAATCCTACCGAATGGTCCAGTTCCAGCAATGGATCCAATATCAACCTTATGCTGTTTAGCAAGCTTCTTAGCATACGGCGTTGCTACAGTCTTCCTCGGACCATCTGCTACAGCTGTCACCGGAGCCGGTTGAGCGATCGCCGGAGCAGGAGATGAAGTAACCGGAGGAGGAGATGGAACAACAGCCTCAGCCGCAGGAGAAGAAGAAGATTTCGAAGCAGCTTTAGTCTTTGCTTCTTCAATCTCAGCTTCAGTCTCAGCTAACAATCCAATCGCAGCACCAACGGGAGCCGTTTCACCTTCTCCGACGACGATTGCGGCGAGATAACCGTCGTAAAACGTTTCGACATCCATATCGGCTTTATCAGATTCAACGACAACAACACTCTCTCCCTTGGCGAGTTTCTCGCCTTCGGTTTTGATCCACGACACGATTTTGCCTTCCGTCATGGTTGATGACAACGCCGGCATGAAAATTTCTCGAATCTTCGATCGGACGGTCATTACACGGCGGTGGGATGACGGAGGAATCGAGGAGCGGAATACGACGCTGCGAATGGATGGGGATACTGAGGAAGCGAATGAAATGTTGGATTTGGAATTGGTGAGTGAAGCTGTCGATAGAAACGAAGAAGAAGAAACCGCCATTGTTGAATCACAGAGAGAGATCTGAGAGAGAGAGATTTAGAGAGAGTGGAGTGGACGGAGAAGACGAGGTTCAAGTTCGTTAAGCGTCTTCACCTACATTTGTATTGTATATGTCATGTACCAGTTGGGATTTTAAGAACCGGAAAATTTATTAAAACCGGTTCAATTTGAATATATTTCTGGTTTAGATTAGTCCATCTAGAAACAAAATTAGATGCTTCTCAACAATAATAGGTAACATAACAAAACCAGTTTTCTAATTTATCTTCTCTGCTCTACCTAAGTTATAGAATCAGATTCCAAAAGCTTAATTTATAAGTATTCCTTGTGTTCTCTTGACCAAAAACATAACATATAATATTTACATTACTCTTTGTCTCATGTCGGAAAAGGTTCGGCTTTTTCTTTTGCTTTTGTTTTGTTTGTGTATTAAACTACGGGAGTTCCAACTTAAAACTAATAGTCAATTAATAGAGATTCTTATATATCTTATATATTAGTTAAAATTTTAGTCGAGTTCCGATGTGAAATTTTGTTATCCTTAATACCGTAAACTAAATTTTTGGGGGTTTTTTGAAATGCAGAAGCAATGTTGTGTTGTGATGAGGGTTAACTTGGATTGCAATGCTTGTTGTAGGAAGGCAAGGAGGGTTATCATCAATATGAAAGGTTGGTATATATTTTTGGTTATATAACATAATATATGGAATGAAATGAACAAATAAAAATTGAATATGTTTTGGATATTTTGTGTAAAGAAGTTGATACACACATGATCAGCAAAAAGGAACGTCAAGTAATCCTTTGCGGAAGGTTTAAACCATCGGATGTTGCGGTGAAACTGCAAAAGAAGATGAGACGGAGGGTCGAGATTCTCGAAGTTGAAGATCTCACCGGTGGCCATGGAGGAGAAGAAGAAGGTCAACACGAGCAAGAGCCACCACCACAACCATATGAACAGCCGTATGACTATTCTCAACAGCCTGATCACTTGACTAGTACACCATATGAACAACCATATGGCTATTCTCAACAACCTGATCAATTGACTAAACCATTGTTGTGTTAGTAATTTATTTCTATTTCGTTTGTTTATAATTTCCCATTACATATACATATTTGCAACAAAAATAATGTAAAAAGAATTATAATTGTGTATATTATTACCAACATGTTTGCCTTTACATATACATGAAACATACATATTGCAATATTTATGTCTTTTTGATTTGTGTAGGATTTTTGAAAGATTTAATATATCGAATACTAATAAATTTAGCACTAGTAATTTGGATTCAGATTTCAAAAATGTTTTTAATAAGACATCTATCTATTATATTTACGTACATATTTATGTTAGGATCAGTATAAAAATTTGATCAACCTCCATATTTGTTTTTATTTTTTTTACATGCGTACTTAATTTTGGACTCAAATTTCAAATTTTGTTTTTAATACCAATTTTTTTAAAAAATATTTTTGTTATTTCATATTATATGTAGGAAAATTTAATTACTTATGTTTAGAATCAGTATAATTTGATAAACCTCTATTTTTATCTTTACGGCCATATTCAATATGCACGCGTGTCCTATTTACATAAAATAAACCTTTTTTTTTTTAATTATAAAGATGGAAGTAGTAGTAAGTAAAGTCCGTCGTGATTCGTAACCAATTTGATTGAGCCTTAACCCTAATTTTGATTTCGACGATTCTCTCTGATGGCGAACGACAAGCAGATCGAATCTCACCACCGCAAACACCACCGTCCGTCTTCTTCCTCCGAGGAAACCGATAAATCGTCGAAGCGGCACAAGCACCGTCACCACAAGCATCATCACCACAGGCATCATCGCCATCACCGTGATAAGAAGCGCGGCGATGAAATTCCATCCGCCGGGGATGAGATAGAGGCGATGGATGTTACGGAGGCGGATCCGATTGGAGTTAGTAACGGTCGTGAAGAGGATGTGGAGGAAGGAGAGATTTTAGAAGAAGGAGGGCTTGGCGATGTTTTGATGAAGCCGGCAGATTCCGACGGCGAGTCAGGCGAAATAAAATCCGATCAGTTTCGAGATAATGATTTGGTCTGTTCTTATCCCTCTTTTAAGTCTCTATTCTAAATTCTGTTTGGATGCTGAATTTAGAAGGGGTGGATTTTGGTTTGGTTGATTTTTCATGTATGAAGCTGAATTAATGATAAAGCTTTGGTCTTTGAGAGTGTTCTTTAGATAACCTGAGTGTTGCACTAGGCGTTCAATGGAGACTGATGGCTTTCCCTTGATTTGTAAGAACTGGTTTTATGTAGATGTTCTCTTCCCCATTTTTTTTTTTTTTTAATGTATGTTCTTGCGTTTTCTATCTCATATATTTCTCTTCTGATAAGTGTTCTGAAAATCTTGCGGTCATGCTTGTAGCCTCCCCATGGGGAAAAAGGGCGTCAAGGAGAAGAGGATAAGAGGTGGTGTAAAGAAGCTGGAGATCCTTTAGAGAGAGTTAGTAAGAGACGTTATGAGAATGGCAGGAGCTCATTTTCTCCAGGTAGCTCTGAAGAGAAGCATAAGAGTAGAAACCGGTCTCCGTCAAACAGTAGGCAGTCTAACGAAGTCCGTGCTCGGAGTAGATCTAAGTCACATGATCGGGATAGGGAAATTTCCAGAGCAAGGATTGTTGCGGAGGATGAGTTTTCAGACAGAGGAAAACATCGTGGTTCTAGTAGGGATTATCATCATGACAGAGTTGACTCAGGTAGGACTGAGGAAAGATATCACCGACTGGGGAGATATGAGGAAAATGACAGGCAATATAGTCGAGATGTTTTGGAAAGAGAAAGAAGTAAGGAGAGAGACATGGACAGGGAGGGAAGCATAAGAGATAGGGATTCAGAAGGAAGTAAGCGAAGAGAGAGAGATAGTGATCGAAGGAGGGACAGAGAACGAGAAAAGAGGAGGGAAATAGAGGTTGACCGAGAAATGCGAAAAGAGAAGGAACGAGAGGGCAGCATTGATAGGAGAAGGGAGAGGGAAGGGGATTATTTACGGGATAGAGACAATGAAAGAGGTAGGAGTAGAGATAGAACCAGGTATAGCAGCAGAGAGAGTAGGAGAGAAAAGGAAAGGGTGAGTGAAAAAGATAGGGAGAAAGGAAGAGAAATCCAGACTGATAGGGAAAAATATAGAAGTAGTGATGTGGACTACAGTGAGATGAGGCACGGACAGTCCAGACACTCAAGATATGATGCGATAGATGACTTAGAAATGAGAAGGCCAAATTCATTGAAGGCCCAAAAATCTAAGGATGATAAGTCAGAAGAAACGCGGGGAAATAATGAAAGGTAATTGTTCAATAACCTCGTCCTTGCGAATAATTTGTTGTAGATCATTAATCTTCTGGGTATCTTGTTTGGCTGTTAACTATTTTGCAATCAGGTCCCGAAATGAGGATGACCAAGATGATAATGACGAAGGAGTTGTTTGGAAATCTCCAGAGGAAGAAGAAGAAGAACTAAATAGAATCAAGGAGGAGAGCAGGAAGCGAATGGAAGCCATACTGGAGAAACATAAGAAGAAGCCTGAGCAGCAAAATGAACCTTTTTCTCAGGATAAGGGGAAAGGTAATTTTCAATCTTTATTGTAATTACAAGACGTCACCGACTCTGATTTCTTCAAATATGGGCTTTCTTATTTTGTTGGAGTTGTTAGTAAAATTTCTTGAGGGTTTTCTATTTGTAATAAGTAGTAGTTTTTTTTAATGTGAAAGTTATATGCATTTTGATGTAGATGATGTAGAAAAACAATCACATAGGATAAGAATGAGGCTTACCCGGCCTGTGGAATATGTGAATGGCTCTTTAACAGAAAAGCTGCTGGTTGATCCCAAGACATTCTCCCACATTCACTTGTAATAATTTGTTCTGAAATTTTAGCTTCTATTTTTGTGCCAGATGTCGCTCAAGAAGTTGCCCCAAAGTCGGATTCTTCTGCAGTTGTCATAGCAGCTAATGTTGGTCAAGCCAAATCTAACCTTGATGCTGACGCTGACAAGGCATCTTTAATGGCTCCAGCAGGGCTTGGTGAAGGTAGCCCGAAGGTGCGTTAGCACAGGAAACCTTGATTTTTTTTATTTGGTATTGATGGTTGTGAGTAATTCTTTGTTTTATGTTGATACTATAAATATATATGCACCTGATGATGTTTCTCGATCTTTATTCTTATAACTTTTTTTCCAGAGTGAAAGATCAGCTGACATGTTTCATGATGATATCTTTGGAGAATCTCCAGCTGGTATTCGGAAAGTGGTATGTATTTAACTTAACTAGATATTTTCTGACTGTGTCATATTTGCTGTTTACTAACCTTATGTTCTTGTCATCGAGGTTTCTTTTATCACCATGTAACTACTAATCTGATCGTTTTGAAATCCTTTTTTTAGTTGTGTTTGAGGAGAATCTCTGTTTGCTGTGTGTGGGTTTTATATATATATTTTTCTCCTTATGTTAAACCAGGGAGGGAAAGGTGACGGTGTTCCCATGGTGAGGAGTGGGCTTCATGATAATTGGGATGATGCAGAGGGTTATTACAGTACGTGTGTTTCTCTCTATTTTCCAATCGTGAAAGGTGAAAGCACCTTTTTTCGTTTTAAGATAATTGTCTTTTTTCATTTTTAGGCTATCAATTTGGCGAGTTACTTGATGGTAGATATGAAGTCATTGCTACTCATGGAAAAGGTGTCTTCTCTACTGTGGTTCGTGCGAAAGATTTGAAAGCTGGACCAACTGAACCTGAAGAAGTGGCAATAAAAATTATTCGTAACAATGAGACGATGTAGGTGGTGCATTCTCTTGGCCCCGACGAATTCTTTAAATTCTTATGCAATTTCTAATATATCGTCTCTATGCTTTTGTGGCTGATTACTATATCACATCTTTTAGGCATAAAGCTGGCAAGATTGAGGTTCAGATATTGAAGAAGTTGGCTGGCGCTGACCGAGATGACAGACGCCACTGTGTTCGTTTCATTTCAACCTTTAAGTACCGTAATCACCTTTGCTTGGTGTTTGAGTCGCTCCATTTGAATCTTCGAGAGGTCTTGAAGAAGTTTGGTCGCAACATTGGTCTTCAACTCTCTGCTGTTAGGGCTTATTCAAAACAGCTATTCATAGCCCTTAAACATCTGAAGAATTGTGGGGTTCTTCACTGCGATATAAAGCCTGACAACATGCTGGTCAGTTTCATGTTTCATTGGTTTTCTTCTACTTGATTCACTAGCTTTCTAACACTTTTGGTTTTTGATTTGTTCAGGTTAATGAGGGGAAAAACGTGTTAAAGCTTTGTGACTTTGGTAATGCAATGTTTGCTGGCAAAAACGAAGTTACGCCATATCTTGTTAGTCGCTTTTACAGATCCCCTGAAATCAGTAAGTTTTATTCGCTGTGAGAATACTCATATTTTTGGACTGTGAAGAGGACATTTCGTTGATTACTGGTTAAGAATATGTGACTGAAGCTTCTATATTTTCCATTGCAGTTTTGGGGCTCGCGTATGACCATCCGTTGGATATATGGTCCGTTGGCTGCTGTCTGTATGAGCTTTATAGCGGGAAAGTTCTTTTCCCTGGCGCCACAAACAATGATATGTTACGCCTTCATATGGAACTGAAAGGTCCTTTCCCTAAAAAAATGCTTCGCAAGGTAAGCATTGAAATAGTTTGGTAATTTCCATAAAGAAAATGGGAACTCCATATGTATGGTGGATATCTAGTTGGATGTTTAAGAGAAGAATTTTTTTTAATGCACGTTCTAATGATTGTGTTATTCGGTTTAACAGGGAGCATTTATTGATCAGCACTTTGATCAGGACTTGAACTTTTATGCTACAGAGGAAGACACTGTTAGTGGAAAGGTAAAAACCTTGTATATCTCGGGGAATTTATAGTTTGACAACCAAATGAGGGTTAGTAATTAGTTACTTTTTCGTTTCAGCTGATAAAGAGAATGATCGCAAACGTAAAGCCGAAAGATTTTGGTTCGATCATTAAAGGTTACCCTGGTGAGGATCCCAAGATTTTGGCTCATTTCAGGGATCTCTTGGACAAAATTTTCATCCTTGATCCTGAAAGGAGATTGACTGTGTCACAGGCGTTAGCTCACCCATTCATCACTGGCAAGTGAAACCACATTGCCATTTTCTCCCTCTTATATCAGGAAATGCTGTTGTCCTAGATATCTGTACATTACACATCTTAATTTTATTTAAGGTTCTAATTTTTGAATTGTCTCTACCTACCTTCTGCTGCCTGAGAGAGCTTTGGTTACAATGTCGACATGGGTGGAGTTCTCATTACCGACGATTCTCAGGGGACTTTACTGGTTCTTTATTGTAAGAAAATTCGCTAATGGCGCTTTCTTTCTCAATACTGCTGTGTAATCATTGGCGACTTTACTCACTGTAGAAGTCTATGTTTCAAAACTTTTCATCTTAATAAGGAGAGGGCCATTCTGTATAATTTTTCGATTCTGTGGAGGCCCTGTGATTATCATTTATGGATAGTAAGATGCTTTATTATCATCTCTTCTGGTCTCTCAAGGGCCTGATGTTGTTTTTCTCCAGGACATCTACCAATGCTTAGAGACAGTCCTAACATCTTTCAATGGTTTAAAGGCACACAGGAGAAGGTACAATGGTTGTTTATTGGGAGTTATGTGAAAGCAAAACGATAATTTCAGTGAACCTTTTACATCTTTATTGGTCGCTTGTGTGAAATTGGATGAAGTTGTGTTGCTTTAGTAGGTTTTACAGTTTTTCCTTGGTTATATGTGTCAGGGCATATGCAGATTCTTTTGTGATGATTTGAGTTTTGCCTGAAATAATTACTTTTTCTCTTTTTCTTATGTAGTTATCTTTTAGTCAGTCATTCGCATTTTTTGTCTATAGGTTCCACTTCCTTTTCTAGTGTTCTTTTATTTCTGTAGAATCTGATAATTGGTATTACTGTGATTCCGGAGGTTTTGCTTGGAGGGGAGAGAGCTGCACAAGAGAATAACATACAAAGGTATTGAGATTAAAAGAATTTCCATGTTCGATCTCCTTTTTTTTAATGTTGTTTATCTCCTTCCAGTTTATTTCACTGATTATGACTTTCTTCTATTTTAGGGTCTTTACTCTCTCCTCCTGCAAGTTTGGTAAGTATCTCAAACTTTTTGGCCAGTTTGAGTTTCTGTGGCTGTTCTGTTTTGTTCATAGCGCGGTAGAAGTCTTTAGGTTTCCGTTAGCACCAAAGTTTTCTCTTGGCTGCCAAGGTTAGACTAAATAGTGCTTCAGAAATCCTCTCATTGGATTTGCAGGTTAGACTAACTGTGCTTTAGAAATCGACTTACTGAATTTGTGAGCATTTTTCATTGCACATAATATATGTTGAGTGTTCTCTTTTTGGAACATAAAAAAATGTCAAAATATATTTTGTAGGTTTAGTGATTTGTTTGGGGGAGAAAACTAACATATGTGATTTAACTTGTGATTAAGTACTCATATATTTTATTAGTTTTGTTGTGTGTGGTTATACTATCCGTTGATAGATGTCTCATTGTAGCCCAAAAGGAGATGATATATATCAGGCTGTTGTGGTTTTCTTTCTTAGTTTGGTAGTTGTGTCTATTACTTACTATGAGCAGACTTTTTTAAAAGTTTTGGTTATTCGCTCACTTGACTTATTATATCTCTGCCTTTCACTTGACTTATTGTAACTCGCTTGAGAATATTGAAATTAGGTATATGTATATAAATCCCTAATAGGTTAATTGTACAGACATTGTCAGTCAAGTTGTAAGATTTTATGTATGGGAGTTTTACTAGAACATGAAAAGAAATTATATGATTTCATTGGGTTTTAACAATGTTTGAAATGTTAGTAGATTTTGATGATTCCTTTTCTTCTATGCTCTATGGTTGCTTGATTTTGGGAGTCGATAGTTGTTTTTGTATTATTGTCTTTTGGTTCGAAAAACCAGTTCAGTAATCTAACATATAGCAAAATACAATAAACATGTGTTACTACAGAAGTGTTATTTGAGAGTAAATCAATATAATGAGATGGATCAACAATCAAGGATCGACACCATCAACAGTCTCGTGAATGTAGCATTGGACGGTTGTCCGATTTGAGAACGTCAACTCTACTCAGTTCATCCTACATGGCACATTCTTAACAAAGCACTTATATTATGTAATGACCTCGATATTTTAACCAACGTACGACAAGCAAACAACTAGATTTCAGATGATAGATTATTGTACCGGTGAAGTTGTCGTGGCAGGGTGTAGGCTGACATGTGCGGTGTCGGGACAAAGACTTCAAACGTATTTGAGATCCGCCTGCTGAGCAGTTTGTACGATATTGATATTGATATTGTCATATTGATGTTGATATTGGCGAATTAGATCAAGACAAGATTCTTGTTCTTGTATGCATCTATGTACCTTCTCGTCTCTCTAGTCTTTTCATTCTCCAATGGTACGGCTGTTCTAATGTGAGAACCGCATTCTCTCGTACCTCGCTGTTGTATGTTTCATCATCATCCACAAATCTTCTTTTTTTGTTTTGTTGTAAAAGGGGTTTAGTATCCGATTTCGAGGAGAGATGATACTTTTATATCCTCACACTTTAACGTACTACTCTTTCTTTTAATTGGTCGATAATCAAATCAGATATATATATATGCAATAAACAGTGTTTTTAGTTAATATAATTCTGTGTATGATATTTAGATACAACAAAGTTGTATTTTCGTTTTAAACTGAATATGAAAATACTAACCTTGTGAGACATCAAAACCATATTGTCTAAAAAGTCAAAAAAATTCGAGTGCCCCTTGCATCTAAATCTTCTTCAGTGTCATATTTCGAAACATTATTCCATGTTTGCCATGAGAATCCCAAGTTTTTGCAGCTAGTCGATGAACTCTAATTGCTCGAGACGTCTCCACATCAAGCATTTTCTTTTCCTTTTTGTTTTTTTAATATCTTTTTTTTTATGTTAAAAAATAATATCTTCTTTTTTTAAGTTAACATAAACAAAATAGCTAAGTAGTACAGTACCAATTGGTCGGGGATTTTGTTTGTGTACAAAACTGAATTTTCATCTCATTAAGATAAACAAGCTGACTTTTCATCTCAAAAACAAGAACATAAGTTTGGTAGGAAAAAGACTTGAGATGCTTAAAAGAAAGGACGTGATTTGTTTAATTTAAAGTTCGAATTCGTTGTTTTTGATTATTGTATTTTTATATAACTATTAAAAAGTCTCGTAACTCTCTACAACTCTAAAAATATTATCCGGTTGCACAAACAACGGCCTTTGGACTCCTCCATGTCCATGGGATATTAAAACGCAACACTGGTGGAAGTTGGAACTTGGAAAAAACTAGGGCTAAGTAGTATGGTGTGATCCACACACATGGGTATTGGTGACAAGTCAACATGATATATCTATAAAAATTCATATTTATAAATATTGGTGATTGGTGACGAGGCCATGTTTGCTATGAGAATCTAGGTTTTTTAAATCCTAGGGATTTGGTGACTGAGTCCACATAATACAACATATCAGTCCACATAATAATAGAGATTCTACCAAAATTCTGACTGAGTAACGGATAAGTTTTTGAATATATTAATATTTTGTTTCATACATTTGTTTTGTTACAACATATAATTTTATATAGTAAACTAAACCATGACATATGAAAACATTTTCAAATAGTATGATTTAAAGAATATGAGAAATTTTTATAATATCCAATAATAAAAAATTACTCTAATTTTTTTTTAAAATAATATATTTAATTTTTTTTATAGCACACGATGATTTAAATGTAATAAGTTATATAATAAAATCAATTATGATTTAGAGAGGACGGGTTAAATGAAAAATATAAATCATATGCTTGAAATAATTTAAAACTGGATACAGTTTATCAAAACTTTAAAATTTTCAAAAATATCCAAAAAGTGTTAAAAATAAAGTTCACTAACTAAACTAATAGGAATTAGACAAGGAGGTCTATCCTAAGCAGTAAGCACGAACAATGATCTAATTATATAATATAGAACTATTCTATTTTCAATAACTAAACTAATACGAACTGGTTTATGCTAAGCAGTCACACCCTCTAGTGTATTATCGATGTGTCAATAATCATATTTACTAGTTTACTACCAGTCACTATACGTCAGCTATACACCCTGATTGGAGCTGTCTATCTTAATTTTAATTTTACCGATGTCGAATATATGATCTAATTACAAATCTGATCTTTAAGAAAATGTTGAAGATAATGAAATTAATATTTCTATGAGGCAAAACTAAGTCAAAGATGTTGAATTAATATATGACACGATAATGAGTTTTATAATTGAAGAATACGGAAAGAAAACGAAAAGATTATGGTGGTTGGTGGATAATATCCACTGGATATGTCATATGGTCAGAGATAATATGTATTCACATTTTGAGTTTTATATTCTGTATAATATATAGTTCCGTAACCCAAACCAATCTCTAGAACACAAGACGAGTTCCTCATATATCCTCTCTATCTCTATCTCCAATGGATTCAGAGACGACCATACCGAGCCAGAACCAAGAAGAGACCAAGACGGAGTCAACAGAGTTCGAGAAGAATCAGAAGCGGTACCAAGACTTGATCGCCACGTTTCCTCACGTGAAAGGTTGGTTTACGGAAGCTCCGTTGATCGAGTATGGTGGTCACTGGTTCATACAACCAGTCTTAGAAGGTTGCCTTCACGCGCAAGACTTCTTCCAAGCACGACCTAGTGACATCCTTGTTTGTACTCACCCAAAGTCAGGTACCACTTGGCTCAAAGCTCTAACTTTCATCATCGTTAATCGATCTCGCTTCGAAGACGATTCCACCAACCCTCTCCATAAAAGCAACCCTCACGAGCTTGTTCCTTTCATTGAGATTGATTTCCCTTTGTTCCCTCAAGCTGATAGCCTCAAAGACAAAGAAAACACTCTCTTTGCGACTCATATCCCACACGGTTTGTTACCCGAATCGATTACAAAATCCGGTTGTAAAATGGTTTACATCTGGAGAGACCCAAAGGACACGTTCATCTCCAAGTGGGCTTTCTTTGAAAAGCAGAAGTCAGACCTTGGCTCTCTCACCAGTCTTGAGGAGTCTTTCGATATGTTCTGTCGAGGTGTTTCTGTGTACGGTCCTTACCTAGATCATGTCTTTGGGTATTGGAAAGCTTACCAAGAGAATCCAGATAAGGTTTTGTTTCTCAACTACGAGACTATGAGAGCTGATCCTTTGCCGTATGTGAAAAGATTGGCTCAGTTTATGGGCTATGGATTCACAGTTGAGGAAGAGGAAAAAGGTGTAGTTGAGAAATTTGTGAACCTTTGCAGCTTCGAGACGCTGAAAAATCTTGATGTCAACAAAGGGGAGAGAAACAGAGAGGGCATCCCTGCGGTGTATTATCCGAACAGCGCGTATTTCAGGAAAGGTAAGGTTGGAGATTGGCAGAACTACCTGACTCTAGAGATGGCTGCTCGTATAGATGGACTGATGCAAGAAAAATTCAAGGGAACTGGTTTGCTTGAACATGGTTATACTACATGACCGCTTAAATCTTGTTTGGTGCAATTAATCATCATATCCTTATCTGCTTTAAGTACAACACACGTTGTATTAAAGTTAAAATCTTGTTCTTACTTTTGTCCAAATGTACTGAATTCTAATAAAGAGGATCTGGCTTTGTAAACCATTCATCTTTGATTTATGTTTTCAAATTCAAAGTCTTGATCCTCCTCTTCTGCAACTTGTATGTTTCAATCTCTTGTGATTATACAAAAATTGTGGATATATAGGCTAATAGATTCAACTTTCAAGCAATTATTTATGTTTTTTTTTTTTTTTCTCATTATAACTAAAAGGAATGATACACATAGTAGTGGCACACAGAACAAAACAGAGCATCCTCTGTTTCTTGGTACTAAATAACAATCAAAGAGTGGTGGAAGTTTGATAGCAGCAACTTAAAAGAGTGTAAATAATCTAACTTAATGGGATTGGATCAACGAGCAAGGACTCGACACGATCAATGGTTTTGGCTTTGCTCGGACATCCATGACCATCACCGTATTGATACATGCATTGCGACATGCGTGCCAAGTTCATCGCAGCTTCCATAAAACCTCGAGAAAACAACGGTGAACGACGTGCCGTTTCTTTGGTTTCGTAGTTCATATCGTCCCATGTGTCAATAATCATCTGATGTACGTGCTCGCGTGCCTCTTCCTCGGAAGCTCCGGTGTCATGCATGTAACATTGGACCGATTTGAGTACGTCTCCTCTCGCCAATTCATCCTACGTGTACATTTTAGCAAACACTCAGCTCACCTACGTCTCCATATTGCATATACTAGTATAGGTAAAACAAAAAACAAAAAAAAACAATTCTCATAAATACCACTAAAATAAGTTTTTTTTTTTCCAAAAACAACCATTTTAATTTTATTTTCTATAATAACCAAATTAAATAAGTAAATTTTACGTCCTTAAAAATTAATTATGATATTCGTGGTATTTTTGGGAAAAGAATATATGGTATTTTTAAAAAGTAAACATTATTATATTATTTTTGGAATTTGTTTTTTTTTTAAATGTGCTATATTATTTTGAGGATATATATAGCTTTGATCCATTTTATATTGATTTAGTTGTCAAAATCAAGATATCCTGGACACAAAGGATGAAAGGAATCAATTCTTGTTTTGACGACTAAATCAATATAAAATGGATCAATTCTTGTTTTGACGACCACCGTACCACGTTTATTATTTTTAGTGGAGGGCATCTTTAATAATGGTATTTTAGCAATATCTTAGCCCAAGATTTGTAAAGGAATATATTTTATATATAAGGGTGAAAGGAACCAATTTATATATATAAGATACACTTTTTCACAAATCTTAGGCTAAAATATTTATAAGATACCATTGTTAAGGATGATGGGAATCCTTAAATAATGAATCCTTAAATATATTTAGTAATTTAATTGAGTATACACCTCTTCCACCCTCATTTTGATCTTATATAATATACGGATCTTATGATTTTAATTGTATTTTGATTTAAATTTAATCCTAAATTTACCTAAGATTAGCCTAAGAATCACCTAATAACCCAGCGTTGATGATGGTCTAATGTCCTTCAAGCTTATCCTATAGTCTTCTAACACGTACTAGCTTAAAAGTTGGAAGAGAAGTTATTTACCGACGATGTTCCAAGGTCGTTAGCTAGACGAAGGACAGTGGCGGAGCACCTGACGATGTGTTGTCGGTGTTGAGACAAAGCCTCCAAGTCTTGAACTGAGATTTGGTCAGAGAAGCAGCAGTAAAAGTGAATCAATATTGTTGGGGCAGAGATTGAAATCCAAGCATTTTGCATGTATTCTTCCACACTTGGTTTGTATCCTCTGTTGTACCACTTTGCTTCCACTAGATATGTTTTACATAAATCTGCCCACTTGTGAAAATTTTCACAAAAACAAGAAAATACATAATAATTTTAAAACTATTAACATATTGAAATAATATCAATAATATATAAAGAGATGTTACTAACCGATTTCTTGAGAAATGGGGTGACATCAATATTTTTATATTTGAGAATATCATATCCAATGCCATTGATTTCATTGTACAAAACAAGAAAACACAACCGCATGTACTCGGGAAGCCCATCAAGACGATTTACATCCCAACTACACATGTAAATATATTGTCCTATACTTTCATACCTCAAAAATTAAGAATTAAGAAGTTTAATTAAGTATAAAACTTCTTACCTTTCAACTATGGAAGTGAAGAGTTCAAGTTCTTCAAGAGTGCCATAGATATCATAGATATCGTCAATGGTTGTAACAAGCACATTAACTACAGTCATGATACGTCGGATATATCCAAATTGTGGTTCGTATATTAATCCAACAGTCCAAAAATAATTCTCGACAATTCTATCTCTTACAAAGGGAAGTTCATTAGCCAAACATGTACCCTTCCACCAGCTTCAAATCATTAAAGAGAGAGGATAATATACGTTTTAATACCAAAGTGAGATATGCAATTTTTATTAAGTTTATTGTATTACATACCTTGAAACGTATTTGAGATCTTCTTGATGAGTGGTTTGTACGATATTGAAATCGATTTTGGCGAATTCGATCAAGACAAGATCCTTCAAGCCAATTTTCTTCTCGTATGCGTCTATGTACCATCTCGTCTCTAGCCTTCTCATTCTCCAATGGTATGGCATTTCTAACGCATGAATCGCCTTCTCTCTTATCTCCATGTTGTATGATTCATCATCATCAACATATTTCCTTATTTCATCTGTCGCAAAAGGTCTGATGACTTTATGCAATTTTGTATCCGCTTTGGTTGAGAGAAACGAGGCTTCGTACAAAGAAATTATACTTGTTATATTTTCGATCTTGAACCTATTGCTTTCTATCTTGTCGATGATCACATCAAATATATCTGAAATAAAGGGACGTTTTAGTTAAAAGATGAAAGTGATATATAAACAAACGAAATTGTAATTGCGATATTATACTAACTTTCTGAGACATCAAAACCATGCTGTCTAAGAAGTCGGAACTCGAGTGCGGTTGCATGTAACTCGTCTTCCTTGTCACATTTCCAGACATTTCTTCCATTTTTAAGATAAAAGTCTGTTAAAATGTTATTTATTTCTAGCTCAAAATGATAGGAAACCCCAAGTTTTTGTAGATCATCGATGAGCTCTAACTGCTCGAGACGGCTCTGTGTAACATCAAGCATCCTCTTCACTTTTTTCTTCAACACATCTCTTGTTACTACTTCTCTTTCACTCTGTATATTAATACATATGTTTACGTAGTAATAATTTGCTAATGTAAAAAGAAGTAGTCATGAATAAAAGTAAAAATTAGGTGAAACTTTCAAAATGATGAAGATGGTATATATACAATACTTTACCGCATATTTGTTCTCGATGGAGAGGAGATAACAATGATCCCACGGTGAAGGTTGATAGTTGCCGGAGCGTCGACTGAGGTCAACTGAAGTAGCTTCCGGCGTAGTTTTGGTCATGGATTTGCATACAAAACGGTGAGGACGAAAACTGTGGCTAAGAGCGTTTTGGTAAAAAAGAGTTGTTGAAACCATACATAAAGTAGCCATATATTGATTCTCTTCTTCGTGGCGGTACATGCACATGACAGCACATACGTTTATATAGTTAGGAGATCTCAAAATCTAAGGGTGTGACCAGAGAGGAAAATGAAAAATAAAAGAGGTATTTGCTAATTGTAGTAGGATTTTTGTTTTTTTTGTTTTTTTTGTTTTTTGTCGACAAAAATAAAGAAGTAGGAATATTTTTTACCTTTTACTCACTTTTTGAGAAGAAGAAGTCAAAAAATTCTTATTAAGTAGAAAATAGATTTGTTAATTATTGTCTAAAATTTTATAGTTTTTCACTTTCTGAATAGTTTTAGATAGTTGATTATGTTATCCAAAATCTTATGGATTTACCATTTTAAGCTAACATAATATTTTAATAAAACATGTGTTTGATACATTATGTTGAATTTACTCGGTTCTATTTGTTTTTAAGGTTTAATATTTGTTATCAAATATGTATTATAGCCCAAAAAAATCGTATATCCCAAAAAAATCGTAAATATAAATACATTTATTGTCTTTGAAAATAGTAAATACATAAAATTTTAACAAAAAATGGTATATTCATAAGATTTGCTTGTTGTATCTTTCCGTAAAAACTCATGTATAGATTGACGTTTTTTTGCTTATTTTTTCCAGCAAAATAAAGACTACTATATTTTTCAGTTTTTGTATACCATAAAAAATAAAGGTGAATTGTTTGTATATTTTTAATGTGTAGGTAAAGAATGAAATGTAAAGGCATTGAGCTTATTCTACCTATAAGTTTGTCACATCGGAAAAAGAAAAAAACAAAAAAAAAAGAAGAAGAATAAAAACAAGATAACAAATGATTTAGGTACAAAATGGGTGAACTTAATCGTAGCCATGAACAATAAAGGTGAAATTATTAACGTACCTGTCACACACATATTTGTCTCCAAAGCCTAAATGATTTGTGTTCCTCGTGATTCTCATCTATTATGTTAGCCAACACAACAATGGCCCCCTTCAGACAGAACAGTCATTAAATCGAACCACCTCTAATCTTTTTCCAATTTCTAAATCTTATAATTAATCTCGTGATCCTCGTGTTACGCTAGCCAACAAAACCTTTTGGGTCAGTTTTTGTAGTATGAAAATATACGTTGTACTCCATACGAAGCTTCGACAACGTAAACAAATATGGCATTAAGTATTATAAACTAAGTGGTATTGGTCTAATAATTTTAATTCGAGCCAAAGAGGTATTTTATTAGTTTATGTCAAGGATTAATATTTTTTTAAACGCGAAATCACTAGATATTTTTTTTTGGGTTTAAACTTTTGAATATTATATTCAGGATTTTTTTCTTTTTTTAAAAAACTTGTATAATATTTCACATGACACACACGTATAGCCACTCTTGTTCAAAGCGAATTATCTTGGTATATGTCAAATAACACCGGAGAGAACAATATAATTTACCTTTAATTTTTCTATCATTTTAAACAAGAAAAGGTTTAAAGCTTATATATAATTAAGATGATAATCCAATGAGCTTCGACGTATCAGATGATCGAGCTAGTGGCTTAAGATAGTGTTACAATTAAGTTAAAGGTTCTATATATCATGACATCAGTTTCATTCCTCCACGTTAATGTTTCTAGAAAACAGCTGATGTAATTATTAACATGTATCCTATACAAACACATAAAACTCTTTAAAAAAAATATAAAACCTAATACAGTAAAACCTCTATAAATTAATAATGTTGGCACCAAGATATTTTATTAATTTATAGTGATGTAATGATATTCTTATTTTATAATTATACTAGGTTTGAACCCGCGGTACACCGCGGTTTTTGTTTTTAAAATCAATTTTAGATATTAGTAATTAAAATTTTATATGTATTATTATTCTACTATAATTGTTTATTTAGTAGTTCATGTTATATAAATAGGTATTGTATGTTGTTTAGTAGTTAATTTTATTTATATGTAGAGCGTGTTTATAAGGGTGAGCTTTTATTTTTGAGGTTAAATTCTGAAGTTTCTGAAGTGTAGATTTCTAATTTGTTAAGAGGGTTATCTTCCGGAATTTGGTTCCGAGTATAACAGTGAGAATTTTGATTATGGTAGTGAATAATTGTTGTACCGCTGCCCGTTGGGGTATAGTGTGTTGCAGACACAATTTTATTTTTATTTAGAAATTCTAATTGTAATTAATTTTTTTTTGTTTTTATATTGTTTTTAAAATATGAATTAATACAAGTATATTTGCTTTCTAATTTTTTTTTGATATGTAACACTTTTTTAATTACCAAGAGATGTTAAGTTTTGTGTTCATTAATATATATATAAACTTAATATATAACGCAATTCATATTTAGTAATGTTAAGAGGGAAAGACTATGCTGTGTCTATAAAAAAAATAGTATTGTTCAGAATCTGCAAAACCAATCCGGTTAACACATACATTCAGTCAACAAATAAGTTAAATAGATAAACCACAAACCTTGCTCAAAAGAAAAAAAAAAGAATTGCTCAAAAAAAGATTAACCACAAACCAATACAATAAATGAAACAACTCTACCAAAAAAAAAAAAAATGAAGTAAATAAACAAAAGTAATCGGCTATGTTTTTTTTTTGGACCTCTCGTCTCTTTGCTGCTAGCTAAAGAACACCGCAGAATCTCATGACCATTTTTTTGGGGGGTTGTTTGGATCTCGGTATTTTCCATCTATATTTCTATACTTACTTTAAGAATCAACACAACGATTCAACTTATAGTAATCGTTGTTTGCTTTCATCCAATGCAATCCTATGGAGGTACAATGGAGATCTAATTTGGGCAATTGAAGGCATAGATGTCAGAAATTGAACCCAGATTTGGACGGTTGAGCGAAACGTGATTGATAGTTACCATGTATACTCTGAATTTTGCATTGTTTAGGTTAGTTACTGTTTGATTTACTTTTATCTTCTTGGTTAATTGCCTTGTGTATCATGTGTTAAGTTGAACCATGAGTAAAATTATAACATTTCAATAGCCGATTAAGAATATTTTGTTTATGAACTTTTGTGGGTAATTTTAATTGTGTTCTTACGAAACTCCAAAAACATTTGTGTAACTTTGTAATTCAGCAAAATTGGGCATGGTTGGTAAATGATTTTTGTTTTTTTTAATAGTTTGTTGATTCTAACATTACGTGTTTTTGTAAGAAGTTTGTCCTCAGTATGTTTGAATTTTTTGTAATTAAATCAACGAAACCTTAAAAACCCCTTATATGTTGAACTGTCCTAAATTGTTAATGTAGAATCGGGAAAACTGTTGTTGTTTATAAATTGTAGATTCCATACATTGATACATAAGGTGTTCTTCAAAGTATTCTGATTATTTGCAGGTTTTATCAAATGGAATCGATTGGCAAGTCCTGTAACTCTTACCATGGCTTCGTGCTGGGGATAGCCGTACTGGTTAGTTCATAGTCTTCTTATTCAATTTTGTATGCCATGGTCTCATACTTTTACACAACTCTTTTAGAATAAGATTAGTTAAAAATTAAGAAATGAATATTTGTTAGGATAATCTGCAAAAATGCTGTAAAAAAATACTAAAAGAGTTACTATGAATAGTTTTAAAAGAACTGTGTGTTAAAAAATGAAAAACAAAATGTTCTTCTGGAATTGCAACACAAACTCAACTTCCCTTGTCTGTTGCTCTCTGGAATTTTAACCTACACAGACAATGAAATACTATAGAAGAGATGCATATCATAAACATATACATATTAGTTTGACCAAAAAAAAAAAAAAAAACATATACATATTAAGTAGTAGAGTATGTTTGAAACTTATACCTTTTATGAAATGACAACAGTATCACGTTCCCTTAATTCCTCATATTCCATTGAAATTTCTTTAAACACAACATTCATTATTTGCTTATATTTTTTTTCCCTTCTTCATCAACTATAAGAACTTTCAAATCCTTCTTTGCTGTCTATTTCACTTGATAGATCTTCCATGCGACTGACAATGGTTTGAGTCATAAAACTCATCTTGAAACGATGATTGGTTATTATGAATTGGCCACCGGCAATGCCTAAACCAGATTTTCAATTGATCTCCATTCACTTTGATTAATCTTGATCTGGAATAGATTGATCAATTCCTTTTTCACCGAAGCATGGATTTTTGTGCCCTATAACAGATTTCGTAACAATTGGTTAGTCACGGTATGAAGATTAAAATGAGTGAAAACATAAATGTCAAAATCGATCTGTATACCTCCATATCAGCCAAAACCATATTGAATGCCTCTACAAATTTGGTGGAGTACGTCTTTCACGTATGGAGAACCCTTACTTGGATCTTCCAAGTAGTCTTGTTTGGTTTCACTTCATGAAGAAATACAAAAGATGCCGACATCGTTAAGTTTGCTTGTAGAGTATAAAGATGTGTTTTTTTTGGTGGTGTATTGAATCACGATTAGGCTTGTATTTATAGCTAGGTTGGAAGATGATAGGGTAGGTTTTCATGTATACGGATTGGCTTGCGAGAGACTTTGGGTCTATATGATTTTGATGCAATATTAGGAAAATAATATGTCTATGAATCAATAATTAGCGACAATTATGTATCTTTGAATGTTTATACTGCTTTGATTGATTGGAATTTAGGATTACGTCTATTGAGGGAATGATTTCCGATTTGATAAATTGATTCATTATGGTGGCTGATTTTCGACGTATTAATTGCAGGAAATAACGACACATAACGTGTGGGCACAAAGACTTAAAAATTGCGTGGTCGATTTTTAAAAGTTAGTCTTTAATGTATAGTAAGCCCAATATAAACGAAAGCCCATCCATCTAATTGACTCCTCCAAATTGGCAAGGATCCAATTATGTATTTACCGGGTTATAAGGGACGCGCGGACCCTTCATGGTATGAAATTTATTATAATTATTTTACGATTTTAACCCTGTCGATTTAGAAAAAGGCTCTCTTTCATAACAAATTGAAGGGCAAATTTCGGAATTTTTTGACAAAGTTTTCTGATTTTCAATTTTGTACTCCTCTTTTAATATTAAGAAGATATTTGTTTTTTATATAGTGTTTCAATTGTAACTAAAATAGGTGTAAAATGGAAACTGTTATCCAAATCTAACATTGGAAAACAAAACATCCTTTTTTTTCCTAAAACATTTTTAATTATGAACCAGAGCGACTAATGTGCTGGTTTAGCTTCGGTTATATCCGGTTTAATGTATGTGCCGATACATTTCTGTTTAGTAAAATCATGGGCCATAAGCCCGTTAAAGCCCACTCGATACTGGTAATGTATCCGTGTTAACTAAAACGCTGTCGTTTCGACGAGTCTCTCTTTTCATATATGTAAAATCAAATTTCTCCGACTAACGGTGGATAATGCAGTAGTGAAGAAGGGACGACGATGATTCTGATAACCTCACCGTCGGTGACATATCTCCGTCACCGCCTCCACACTTCCCAAACCAATCCGCCTCAAATCCGCCGGAGTATAGAAATCTCGACCGTCGGTCGCTGCTGCAATCCATGGCAGACAACAATTGATCGTTTCAAATTACGAACACGAAACAGCTCCTTCTCGTGCTGTGCTCGTCGGAAACCGGAGACGGCGACGGTTGAGGTTGAAGATGATGATTCTAATCGGAGAATCGTTCGGTATCTTCTGTGGTCTGCTGAAGCTGTGTATATACTATGGCTCTTTCTTCTTCCTTATGCTCCTGTGAGTGATTTAACTTCAAAATTCTTATTCTAATCGTTAGGGTTTTTGAAATCGTAGTCTTAATTCTTAAGATCTATGTGTGAATTGTAAGGTTTATGTAGAATGTGATGAATCTTGAAAGTGATTTGGATAGTTATAGGAATGAGAACCATTTTAATTTCTCTGTTTGAATGTTTTGAGAATCGATTAGGTTTGTATCATTGTCATAGTTTATGAATGATTACTATATTTTATCTCAGCCACTTGCCAACGGATTGTGTGAATTTTTCGAAGGTTTATGAAGAATCATCACATTCACATTGATGAATCTTGAAAGCAAGTTCGATAAGCTTATGAATGTGATGAATTTTGAAAGTGATTTGGATAGTTATAGGCTTGAGAACCATTTCAATTTCTCTGTTTGAATGTTTTGAGTATTGATTAAGTTTAAATCATTTTCATAGTTTATGAAGGATTACTAATTTCTTCTGAGCCACTTCTTGCCAATGGATTGTGCGAATTTTTTGAAGGTTTATGAAGAACCATCACATTGATGAATCTTGAAAGTAATTTTGATAAGAACCATTTGAATTTCTCTGCTTGAATATTTTGAGAATCGAATAGGTTTGTTTTTATCTTCAACTTTTTATTCAGATTTGCTATTCTCTCTGTCTGTACACACACTCAGGTATGTATAGATCATGTATGTTTTTATTAATCAGAAATGAGACTCTTTGATCAACAGGGAGATCCAGTTTGGGCAATTAGTTCAGAGACGGTGAATTCTCTTTTGGGACTTTCGTTGAATTTCTTCTTTATCTTGCCTCTTACAAACCTCGGTATGTTATGCTTAAGAGTCTTGTGTTTCTCTGATCGTTTACTCGTTTGATCTCTTATGAAAAACTCTTTGATTTTGGACTTTCTGGCAGAACAGCTGGTATTCAATTCTTACAAGCTCCTGTTCTTCACCCGGTATTACACCATTAACTTGAAATGTTTTTTTTTTGTGTGCAATAGTGATTAGTATTTGTCATTCTGCTGAAAATGTCTTAATTATATTAACAGATGGCTGAAGGGTTATTCAACTTTGTGATAGCTTGGACACTCATGTTTGCTCCATTGTTATACACAGACCGGAGGAGAGATCGATTCAAAAGCTCTCTTGACGTCTTATGGAGTCTCATGATGTTCCTCACAAACAGTAAATGCAACTTGGTTTTTCATATAAAAAGCTTAGTTTCTCTAAAAGCAAATCTCTAAAGTAGATGATCCGTTCTGTTGATCTCGTGTTGCAAACAGCTTTTCTAATCCCATACATGGCTTTACGGCTCAATGACCCTGACCCAAATGATAAACCGAGGCCAAGGTCTCAACTTGGCGAAGCAATGACCAAGGGTGCACCAATAGTTGGTCTGACAGGAGCTGCGGTGTGTCTGATATCAACATTGTGGTCTCTCTATGGTCGAGCAGATGGAGATTTCGGTGGAATAATGGACAGATGGCAGTATCTCATTGGTTATTTGGGATCGGAGAGACTAGCTTACGCGTTTATATGGGATATATGTCTGTACACAATCTTTCAGCCGTGGTTAATTGGAGAGAATCTGCAAAATGTGAAGAAGGACAAGACTGAGTTGGTGAGGTATCTTAGGTTTGTTCCTGTTTTTGGTTTGCTTGCATATCTTTTGTTTCTCAATCTCGACGATGAAGCTATTTAGTAAGCTGATTGGTATACACACAATCATGTATTCGTCATTGTACTTTATCAAATTTTAATTATATATTGTGGAAAATTCGGCTGTAAGTTTTATTTATTTATATAATATTTTGAAATGCATGCATATTGATATTTTTTCCTGCATTTTAATTTATATTTATGAGTGAATATATAAAAACTATATAAAATTTGGTTGTTAACTTATATATTATATTTGAAATATAGTATCGAAAGGCCATGCACATTGCAGCGTGGATGGATCCGTTGCCATCAACATTCGAAATGTTAATATTTGTTGATTTATATCATAAAATCATTTTAGATACCTATTTGGTTAGAACTTAGAACTTTTCATTGTGTAGTTGCAATCAAAAACAGTCGTTTACTTTGTCTCTGTTCCACCTGCCAAAATTTCTTTTGTTTGTTTCTTAACAAAATATATAATTCTTTGCTAATGATTAAAAAATGTATCACTAACAAAGTTTCCAACCAACCCTTTACAAAATTCTTTGATCTAACTTTTGACCTGAATGACAAAAACTGAGGAGAGCTTTGAGACTTATGTAAATTACATAAGGAGTATATTAGAGAGATCGCAAATATGATATGTATATGTTTGCAGTATGAGATGATGATAATAGTTTGGATCGTCGAAGCGGGTTTGGATCTATTTGTCTAGGAGATATGTCTTTGATTAAGGACATATATGGTCGAGATTCTGAGCGATGCAATAGCATGTTTACTTGTTTCAAAACCCTAGTATATGTATAGAGCAGGTTGCAAATAATTAAGAGCTTGAGAAGTTAAGTTAGACAGTCGAAAGCTAAGGATCCAATTAACGATGTTCTTAGGTGTCATTGAGCAGTCAACTAAACCTAAGGTTACGTGATATACACTGCAGGGTTTGGAAGGGACGAGCCAAATCATGTATTTTGCACCAATTTTTCCATATCCAGCTACCTATATATGTTATGGTAGTTGAAACCCGTAAAATAGAGCCTTACACCAAATTTTTTAAAATCCATGATACACCACAACTGATTAATCTAACTAGTAAGCAAAAATAGAGTCCACACTTTTGTTTTTTTTGGTCGACATTGAATTCACTTTGGTTGATGAACAATATGTTATATATATAGGCTTTTTGCTAAATTACCCTATTGTTTTTTCTAGCAAATTTGATACAAGAAATACGGTAACAAATACTCCCTCCGTTTCTTTTTATTTGATGTTTTAACCAAAAATAATTATTTTATATTAAGTGATGTTTTCTATTTTCTATGCAAAAATTAAATATTTTTAATATTTTTTGACTAATCATATATTACATTGTATTTTCTTATTGGTTGATTTTATTTTTTATTAATGATATTTTATAGGAATTAGAGAAACTATATGTTTTATTAATTTGTGTGTTAGAACCTTAAACATCAAATAAAATGAAACAAAAACAGTAGTAAATAAGTGATAGAATTTCGTCAGTAATGTAATATCATTTTAATTTAATATATCTTCTAGATAATTAAATACGATATCCTATAAATAAAACAATTTATTTATGATTTTGATATTTATACCTAAATTTCCGGCGGATTTTAAATAAATCATAACACCGTCAAAATTTCATCGAATATTCATAAGAATTGCTCCTTTTATACAGTATGTTGATTTTGTAAATAAAGAGTAGAATTTGGTGATATTCTTATTAATTTTCGCAATTGGGGTTTCTCTATTTGATTAAGTTATTTAAATGGGACCAGTGAGAATAGTAGTGATGACCAGAAGAAGTCAAATCAAATGAAATCAGTACAAAAAGAAAGAGTGATAGGTTTCCAAGGCTGGAGAGTAATGCGTGACATTTGGAGTGGAAGCATCTGATAGCCCCTATGATTGCGTTGAAACGTACTCTCAGCAACCATCCAAGCCAAAAAAAAGCCCTTGTATCTTATGCAACAGTCTCTTTTAAACTTGCATTTTTATGAAAATATATATAGAAAGAGTTGATATTAATCAAATGGTGAGTATATCTACCACTCCACGTGAAACTTGATCAAATTAAACAATTTATAAGTTTCAACTTTGAAAGGGTGTTGTCATATGTACTCATATATACTATGATGCTTTCTACAACTCTCTTTTCTTTTGTATTCGTGCGGAGAAGTGGAAAACACAATATAATTTGTCGTGTTAATTTCTGAACGTAATGTAAATTAATGTT